GGAGCCATGAGGCTGCTACACATCTTCAGGGGTACACAGTGGAGCTTTGAGTGTCTTTGTGCTGGACTAACATGCCGCCGCCGCCGCCGCTGCCGCTGCCGCAGAGCGACCGTTGCTTGTCTCTGGCGATCAGTCTGTGTGGCATTTGAGGAGTATTGAATTAGTGGATGTTGTGCGCGACTATCTAACTCTTTGCTTCACGTGGGATGTTTGGGTACGCTAGTTCTGATTATAGGTAACTGTTTAGCCGTAGATGTGGTGGATGTAATAAAAGTTACGTTAAAGTAAATTGCACGCTTGTTTGATTGCCGATTTAATGCTTTTCTCTCTCTATTAGTTTTTCTTAACCAAAGACTCCTTGGCATCAAATAAGACAGATATAGCTATCTGAACGTATTGCGAAGCAACACTATAAAATAGTGATTAAAATATTTTCGAATGCAAGATAGAGGAGGACATTTCCTTTTCCTACTTATGTTTATAATTTTGTATTTTAATTTTCAAGCGTTTTGCATATACAAATATAATAAAATTTGATAAAGTTACGTTTTGGGGAGCCTTAAATACCTTGGTTTAATTTAATTTCTAACTTAAAGAGATCGTGTAATGTTTTAGGTCACAACATTTTGAGGTTAGGACTGCGTGCTTTTTGTTAGTTCTACACAAAATATATACATTTCAAAATTCGCATAGTTATCTGAAAAATGTGTAGGTATTATATTTATGAAAAACAAAAATTACTCTATCCAAATTTTCATATTTTCTGATTGAACTTAGTGTATGACAAATTAAATAGACATAAAGATATGTAAATTCAGCAACAGTGTTATAGCGCGAATAAATAAAAAAAATAACTTAATTTTTATCATAATATATCATAAATAAGTGCGAGAGATTCAGGGATGATTCTCTGTGGAAAAATAAGTTGGGTCGTTCATCTGTATATTTTTAAACATATGGATTTCCGAGAAAATTCTAATACGGCAATATAAACAGTTTAACATTTTAGTGCGGGGTTGCCAAGTTATGTAGAAAATTCTTCGAATTTTGGAAAAAATATGACCTCGAAGAAGAATCTAAACCCTGTATAGTAAATTTATGTATTAAATTACTTTTAAAACTTTTAGAATTATACATTTTTTGTTCACAATTGTTAAAAAATATGTAATAATCTTATTGTTCGTTGATATATTTAGATTGTTTGATTAAGTTTCGTAACATTTTTAAATAAGTCGTATAAATCTTTTGATATTAATTTTTTTCTTATAAATAAGTTAATACGTTTATCACTCAAAAGAGGTAAATCTATTTCCATACCCTATATAGAAATAAAATATAACAAAACTGGTTAAAGTTAAACTTTACTAAAATATAACAAATCTGGTTAAAGTTAAACTTTTTGATATCGTTATTAAATTTTTGAGCATATTTTGATTTTATTATAAAAATTTACTCATACTTGTTATTTAAAAATTGACTCATTAAAATAAGTGAAAACATTGTTTCAAAATAAGTTTATGCTTTTTAAATTTTTTGGTTTGATAATTCAGTCATAAGTCAGAAGTCATATTATTATTTTCTTTTTCAAGAAAACGTTTATTTTTAGAAGATTAATTTTAAAGCATTTTCGGTTAACAGATTATTTTTAAAATATTAACCAATGTTCTGTATCTTCAAAAAAGATGAAGTGAAAAAATCATAATTTTTTTAATACTTTGTTTCCTCTGGAATTAATGGTACGTTATTCTGTAACATCTTATATCTCTTGTTTGTACAAAAAAGAACACATAGAAATTTGATTTTTTTATTTATTTATTGGGTATTTTGGCGCGAAATTAAAAAAATAGTGAAATAAACCATTGCTCCAAAAAGATCAGTCAAGGGTTATTTTTTATGAAAATAGATTTGCCTAACCAGATAAATAGAAAATATAAAATACTCGCCATTATACAGGGTGTTCGAAAACTAGACCGACAAACGAAAACAGCAAATTCTAGGGATGATTTCATGTCGACTTGATATAAATCTTCTTATCCAAAAATGGATAACGTCAACTGATATTCTTTTATCTTCGATTTTTTGGTGTTATTAATATCAAAATACCTCAGGGTATTCTAGATTCAAGAAGTAGAGTGTCTAGGGTGTACCATATGCAAGAAAAATCTAATTGAAATGTTTGTGTTTTTTTGCACAATACTTACAAAATTGCAAATTCTTTATTAATATTTAGTAGTTGACTTTGGAAAACACATAAAGTAAAATATCTTACATTTTTTTATAATTGAGACAGTGGCGGCGTTCTATTTTTATAGTAAATAAAAGACGTGTGCCACAGGATTTCTACACCACTGGTGATAATGGGAGTGTAACCTGAGGGGTTATTTCTTTAATTATCTACCATTAATTAATTATCTATTTAATGCTCGAAAGAGTTACTATTCAATTCTCGAAAGAGTGACTACTTAATTCTCGAAAGGGAGTTTATTTAGTTATCGAAGAGTGACTACTTAATTCTCGAAAGGGAGTTTATTTAGTTATCGTTATACTTTAATTAACACGTGGGAACTTAGAAATGTTGTATGTTCAGAAAATTACTTCCAAGCACTTACCCTTTCATTGCTTACTTGGGATGTAATCCAGTGGCTGGCTATACAGGGTAGCACTGAAGTTTTAGAAACAAAGAAAACACAAAACTTTTATTAAGGGTTTTATTAACAATAAACAAAACAAACAAACAAAATAAAAACACAACGGCTCGACGACATTATTAATTAATTAATTCAATCGCGACAGCGTACCGAGATTCAGGGAATGCGCGCTCTATACAAAATTTAGAAAAACTATCAAAATTAATTAATTAGCCCGAGACTTTAAAGTTAATAATTAGTCTGCTCAATGTGAAACTTAAGAACGAACTGACCTTTTCGAGATCTTTCCTAAATTCCACAATTCGCTTTGACCACGCTCATTTCGTGGGTCCAGAAGTTTCTGTTCTTGTCTTATTGGCGGGGACCTGAATATCGAGACGCTTGTGTATAACTATATTAGGTTAATAATTACCTAATTGACTTGACATTACATTTATAACAATAATTATATCACTTACTAGTAACCCTAACCTTCCCCTATGACTCCGCGTAGCAATTACGGGAAGGATTAGTCTATCTCATTTAATCTACTCTTATAGCTTGGAAAAATCCGTCAAAAAACCCAGCTGCTTAGGTATACTTTCCTTTCGACTTACTATCAATTTTACAATATAATTTAATTCTAATTTGGAATCTCCACGCTCTTCTTGTGGTTTCGCGCGTTATTAAATATCGATTTTTTTTCTCATATTAGACGCTAAACACATGGCCCCGACAGTTTAAGTAAACTCGTTAAAAATATTGGCAAATTTCTTCGAAGGACGATCTTGGCGACCCACTTGAAACCCATTAACCCTCCGATAATTTGTGACGACTGAAATATCTTACTTTCCGTTCCGGGAACTAATAAATAAATGACCGCGCGTCCCGGCTTTTGTTACAGGAGTATTTAAACGTATTGAATAATTAGACCAAAGATATCCCATTACCACCTAGAATTATTGTTGTTTTATCAAGAAGGGTTTCCAAGGAAATAAAGAATAGAATACAATTTTCGTAATATCCGGACATCCTGTATAATTTAACTCGAAGCTATTATTATACAAAACTTTGCTTTCTAAAGAACCATAGTTTCCTCTAATCTTTTCAGCTAAATGCCAGAACACGAACAGCACTATACAGGGTGTAGCATGAAATAGAGTAATCATAAATAATCAAAAAAGGTGTATATTACAGGGGCGTAAGATTAATAGTTTTCAAAATACAGCGAGTATTAATATTGGGGAGTTTCATCATAACGTGACAACAGCGCTTAACACACACACAGCTGATGCATACCACGTGTGCATGCGGCAGACTTGTCCTATGGAAAAAATGTAAACAACACATTATTGTGAAGCATTTCAAGACAATTGTTTTTCAGTTTTTAAATAAATAAAATAAAATGTATCGGTTTTGTAGTACGAAGATAGTATTGTGCTTAAATTTTAATAAATAATCGTCGGAAGTTGTTATTCTTCAGTATTAACGCTTCAAACCTAACCGTGCTGGATAATTAGTAATTTCCTTAAGCTCATTAATACACTAACAGTATCCTGTCCTTCTTAATTACATTGATCTTGAGACATAAGTACCTATTTGCTTATTCAATTAAACTGACGTTTTTATATACTATATTATTTACTATATGTAAATAAAATACAAGTGTGTAAAATATAGATCATCTCAAAAACTGTTATTGCGGAATTTATGATTCATTTAAAAAATATTTTTAGTTGTACAAATACTGTTACTGTTAATGTTACTTACCAAGTTTTGACGTCATTTTAATTGACATTTTAGTCGTTTTTAAAATTTTTGTTTTTCCTAACGCTGTGTTGTGCAGTGAACAGATTCGTTTTCGGTTAAAACATACTTTTGTGACACTTGAGATGCCTTGTCATAGTAGAAATACAATAACATTCGATCCATTTAGTAATAATGAACATTGCATTAAACGTGATTCCTAATAAACTAAATAAACAATTATTTGTATACAAAGTAATGTAATTTGTAGCAAACTCAATTAAATTTTATCCAAACCAATACTTTTATCAGAAATACTATAAGCCCAACCGTCAATAGATATTTTTTTAATCGAAATCCTGTATCTTTGAAAGTAAGCATTTCTGGATCCATGTTTATAGGACATCTAATAACGTCTTGTGCAATTCGGAACACGTTATATAAATGAAAATGTTATCAATACTTACTTAATTTTTAGAAATTTATTCTCGACAACGCCCTCTAAATTTTCTCTAAGTGTTTGAATCTATAGTAGAACCTCTCACATCCCGCCTTCCACTTTAAATTTCATAACAACCCATCGCTCTCCCCAAGCGAGTGCAACTGACACTTTTCATCCTGTTCCAGACTCCGAGCTCGAAGACTTGGAGACACCTCCCCGCTACCGACCGGACAGCCTGGAAGCCCTCTGTCGAGCCACCCGCTTCACTCAGGCGGAGATCAAGAGGATCTACCGGGGCTTCAAGGCGGAGTGTCCCACCGGGGTCGTCAAGGAAGAGACTTTCAAGATGATTTACGCCCAATTCTTTCCACAAGGTGGTAAGTCGACGCTTATCTTCTATTAACTTTCCCTCGAGTCATAATTTGGGAGAATAACTGCTCGACACGAGAGGGGAGCGCGTTGGCTAAAAAGTGTACACCTTCACAGTAAGGTGCAGTGTAAATTCAAAAGATGAATAGAATTATTTTGGTGTTGAATTTTGAATTAAATCAAAATTTTTATAAAGAAACGTGCTTAACAACACAATTTTTACGTATAAAAAAATCAAAACTTGTGAGAATGAGAGCATGCTGCGTAAAAATCTCTCCATTCATTGTATAAGTAGGGGAAACACAAAACTGTGTATAAACAGATACCGACATGCAGTACGGACTCTGCTATCAGGCAACAAATACGTTTATTCTAGTCTAGAATTGATTTTAGGTACTATTAGGTCTATACCGTGATAAAAAAGTATATAAATATGTAAACGTATTTTGGAAACTGCATTTGAATCTAAAGTCCCTTAATAAATAGACAAAACTATAGAAGTAAACTAAACCTTTTATTATATTCCGAAGTTGTAATCAATCTTCGTGTGAGTAAAATATAATCTCTAAGGTCATACCTCACTACCTCCTAAAATAGTTTCCATTTTATGGTTTCCTCAATTTTTATACGTAAAATGCATAATAGCGTAGCCAAGTGCCGCAGTGCTGCACTCTACTTAATTTTATATCATTTTACCGACATTATGTGTGAAATATCACCGTCAACTGCGGTGTTTCAAGATAAGTTAGCAGCCGCCATTGCAGTGCGGATAAAGCAATAAAATTTTGACACCGATAAGCGGTTTTACTGCTAGCCCTAAAAATCTATGAGTTACTGACATTGTAAAACATGCCTGCCAAGTGACATTTCACATGTATTAAGTATTATAATTCACACCTTTTATAAAGTTGTTTAATAATAATATTTATTCTAGGTATAGTTACAGTAACAACATGAGATAACATACAGTAAAAAGAAATAAATAAACAGTAGCCTAGTTGCATAAACTAAAGCATAGTATATGTATACATATCTACGACTGATACTTGCCTAATGTTACCAGATAACCATCAGTGAACATGCTGATAAAACAGCTTTTATTGTACCTTTTAGGATATTGCGATATTCTGTGAATGCCGTTTGGACTCACGAATGTCCAGGCTACCTTTCAAAGACTTATAGAGTCACTGCTTATAGGTACTCTTAGACTTGACTTGGTAAATGTTGTGGCTTAAGTAATGTTTCTGCTTTGGTATATCTAAATGACTTATTAATAATCTTATTTGCATTCCATGAACATATGGAAGACTTGATTTGTGTTTCAACAATGAAGTTCTACTGAAACCGATATCTTTCTTTCAGTCTCTGTGATATAAAAGTTTTATAAATCTATGTCGTAAGTGGAAGTTGTTCTTGGTCTATTTTAGGCCAAACAGATTTAATAAACCAACACATACATATATCGGAGCTATTCAAATATCTTTGAAGACGTTTGATTTAGATTCATTAAACTAAGGCTAATGATAGAATGAATTACAAGCAAATATTCACTGAATTGGTGTACAAATCTGTCAACGAATTGCAGAGGTACTGGAAAATTTAATTGGCACAGAAATTTCTACTTTTTTGAGAAATGCTGTAACGGTATGGAATATTTTAAATTTTCTAGAATAAAATATTTATCAATACTTTTGTGTCAAGAACATTTGCAGATATTTTTTATTCAATATAATTTAAATAAACAATAATGATAACTCGAAAATAATGACCCGTATTCCTCTCAGTCTAAAATGATCCAAAGAGCAACATCATGAATTGAATTGAATACATAGAATTTTAAATCGTCTTACTTTATTAAAATCTAAAAGCTTCTAAAATGCAAACACAGTGATTATATCATGTATCGCATATATTACTTCTATAAACATTTCTGTACTATCAAAATCGATTTTCCATTACGCTTTCTCTACTTTCCGTCTTGGATATATTTACTTACTAATTCAGAACTGACGTTTATGGAATAGTATAAAACGAAACCACTCCTATAATATAAAGGAAAACGGCGAAAAATGGTTCTTATAGATAAGGGTGTCGTAAGATTTCCCATTACGTGTGATTCCCCAAAGCACGGAGTGAATGACATTCTGGATGGCATTGTCGTAACCATCAACATTGGCGGGAGTGGTACAAGAAATAGATAAAAAGACACCGGTAAATTTGTTGCATATATTTCAGAGCTGTATAAATTAAATTATAAACAGGCATTATTTTAACAAAGCAAATTGTTCGAAGGGGTTCTGTTTCTCTTGGTTTTATATCTAATTGTTTTTAATATTTATCGTTAAACAAGCTGAGATAAAAATTAAGAAATACTGACAGAACAAAGTTATAAAAATTAAAAAAAGGGTCCAGAAAAGAGCTCACATTTTGAAATTTAATCAAAATTTTTATCAGATGAAGATGCAGAAACAGACTAAGCAATAGTGTTTGCAACTCGTTGAACGATCTGTTCAAATTTGATTGGATTGCTGCTCTCAGGGTTTGAAGAAAATGGGAATTTCCCCTAGGATTCTATCAAAAAATTCTATCAGTTCATACTGTGACAATGCCTGAGTAAGATGTTGCTTCGTATGTTGCGCAACAAAAAGTTCATAATACTTATTGTCAGTTAAAAGACAATGTTGAGACTTGTCGGATGAAATAAATTAATTTCAATTACAATTAAATTAACGGAAACATATCATCGGACTTCTGCCGATAGAATTACCCGGATCCGAATGAACGCAACCGAATTGACGTCACACACCAAACATCAATGAAAGTCTAGAATTTGCTGCAGCAGAAGAATTCCTAAAACTGTGCAGTATCGAGTGCTGTGAGAGGATACGGTACACACAATTTTATACGAAGAATTTACAAACGCTCGTACTTCTCTTTGCGTTACTGCTAAAAATGGTAAGCCGGATTAAAGATAAAATTACTGCCTATTATTTTGAGATACGACTGTAGAATAATAATATATTCCCTATATATTGTATGTTTATCAGGTCCATGTCATAACTTCAAAATATTGTTCACTGCATCATTTCAGGAATTTTTGATCTGCCCTTGTTTTTCTCGAGCTAGCCTCTGTGGCGGCTGACTCTTCATTTCGGTTCTTATTGGGTTTAAGGCTTCGGTTAATGATAATCCTCTTAGACGTTCCGTAGTAGTCAGTGCAACTAATGTTTCTAAACGTTTCGCCGCCATGCTTTTTTAGTGATCAAATTTTCAGTTACAAGTTTTGCTCACATTTATACTACGATCATCTATTATTTTACAATCTACATTTTATTGACGATTATGTCGTCAAACAATCTAATTTTATGGTACACCGCAGTCACAGTAGTTATTATTATGTTTCTGATATAAAACTCAAAACTAGAGAAAAATGTAAGAGCATGTCCTTTGTGATCCTTGGTATTAACAACTAAAACCGGGTATTATAGAAATTATGACAGGAATATCAAATTCTGTTTACGACGCTGTTTTAACGACATACTAGAGAGGATGTAAAGTATCGATTGGAGATACAAAGTAAGAGACAACATTCAACTTAGTACAGAATTTCATTAAACTTTAACACCTTTACCAATACGTAGTTTTACATTGCCTCGATAAACTTCCATGAAATATTTTAACTGTTTGACATCATAATAAATAATTTCATTAATTATAACTTTGATTTTAACATATTACTTCAGAGGATCGATAAATTATCTGCATTTCTCTCTAAGTTGGTACTAACTTATAATATCACAAAGTGCTTCATAACTTAATTATTATCAAGAATCAAAACTTTATAAAAACTTTATATTCTACACAAAAGGGTGTTCTGTGATTCATCATATTGTATTGTATTTCGAATGTCTTCGAGTGGATCGATTTCCGTAATTTTTAATTTGGTTTGCGGGTTTCCGTTGTAGCTGTTAATGATTGAACAAAAACCGGACTGGTTCCCATGTAGTCAGTTTAGATATTTCCAGAAGTTTAAGTCCATTGGCTCGTATAAATACGCAGACCTTCTGAATGTTCTGGTGCAAAGTTCAAAACTACTTCCGCTCCTTGAATTTTTGTTTTTTAATTTCAGGTACTTCTAGATCCTACACTTCATTGCATTCTTGACTTTCTTTGCTGTAAAGTTCTGATCAATGTTTCTCTTAATAGAATATTAATACGGCTTAGCTTTTGTATCTGCCTTATGTTCCAACTAGTGATTGAGGGTGACACCTGTGTTCCTATAAACCCATGTTAATGGGTCTGCCTGTTTGTCCAATATATAATTTGCAGTTTGTACAGGATACACACGGCACCTTGGAATAAACGTTGTTGTAGCACGCCTTGAGAAATTATGACGATATCCTTGAGGTGTAGATAATATTAATATCTGTTCCCATCAACACTAATAATTTTCATCAACACTATAAAGGATTTTATCCACAATCACCTTATAATCGGACTTTTATCCACCCTTATGAACCGTCTAAAGTGATACTTTATCCACTAGTGGAATAAAGTAACTTTATTTCACTAATAGAACAATTAAAGGATAATAAACCTATAATAAATCAAAAATTTATTTACTTTTAACATTTACATTGACATTTATAGTAATAAACATATCGTTTTTTTTATGTTTTATCACATTTAACTTACTTTCCGTTAATAACAACCCTTGTAGCATTGTTACTATCATTTTCGGGACGCATAATGTCTTCCGAAATTTGTGAAGAATTTGCACAAGTTAACGGATGTCTCTTCTTGTAAGGAACAGTTATATTTTCCTTGGATTTTCCTTGCAATATCAAGTTTGTTAGATATAGACTCGTCAACATAACTTTCTGCTATAGAGGAGCTCTACTATTCACCATGCCGTTTTTTCAAAATCGTATTTTAGTTGCCTTTTATTCACTTAAGAATATTAAACGTTCGAACTACGTTCTCGCGTTTAAACATTCTTGCGTGGATA